TTTTTGTCCACCACTAGTCTGGAGGAAAGGAATTAGAAATAAAAAGATAAATTCTAATTTATTTTTTGGAATTTGTGTTTTGAGTTTAAGTGTTTATGGTCCTTCTCCTTCCTTAATAGATCTTGCCAGTTAACCCTGAAAACCCTTTTTCCTTCAGGCTTACTCTGGTAATTCTTGCAGTATAGTGTGGACTGTTTCCCAGGAAGCTTTGCTGTTGTTGAGCACAAGTTTGCGAACACCAGAGAAAGATCCAGCATATTTCCTTTCTAAAACTGACAAATTCAGAGGATTGGAACTCAGGTTCAGAAACTCCAAGTGAGGGACATTGGACACAATTTTACTGACCTGGGAGAGAAGGGAAGAAGGGGAAAAAAAAACACCTGTAATCAGATCTCAAATAATATTAAAACCTCCCAGCAACCTTTCCAGTCTACTTCACTGAGTTGAAGAATGATAAGGATCCTAACAGCATTCAAGATAGTCATCTGTAATTCATACCGTAGCCATTTGATGATTTAGATTGATTGGTTAATTGCTTGTTCCCCTCAATGGTTCAGTTAATTACACTCTTAGAAAGCCTCGATAAAGGGGAAAAAAACAGATACCTGGCAGGCTTCTAAAGCAAAGAATAGCAACTATAGAAAAGAAATAATTTACAAGTGCCAACATTTTTCAAAGGACTATTTTATCCAGGGTTACCCATCTTTTCTGCAATCCTGTATGCGCCAAATACCACTTTAGTAAAGAATTTTGATTCACGAAATTGATTTAATGCTTGGATTTCCCCCTCCCCTCCCCCTGCAAACAACTTTGTAATTCTTTTAACATTTGAGAATGAAAAACGGATGGCCAACAGGCAATAAAACCGCCTTTCCTATTTGGGCTTATTGTAATCCAAAGCCTTTGCCACAAGGAAACATGGAGGAAAACACAAAAATGCTGGAGAGCATTTGGAACAATTATTGCAAACTTTGGGGCAAACCCGAATCCTTTTTTTTTTGAAGACACATGGGCTAAAGGAGGGATAATGAGAGTCAGTGGAAACTATTAGAATTCTTAGCTGATTGTACAGCTCTTCCTGATCCTATAACCCATTTTACCGCCTGCTGTTAAAATTAAGAAGACTCAAGGAGATCCATTAGCAATTAGAACTTCCCATTTTTAAAGTCACATTCCGCCTTCCCTCCAGTAGCTGAAGGTGAGTTACATGGGGGAACTCGTTTCATTTTATCCCCTGAAGAAGCTGTGGGTAAGGTCGGCTGGGCTGAGAGAGTAGAACCAGCCCAAGGTCATCCAGCAAGACTTTATATGCTTGAAACAGCATCTGCCCTGGCCCAGTCCAAACCTCATTGTAATGCAGGCATTAACAGGCCCCCAAAGAAAGAAAAATGACAGAAAAACAGAGAGCTGCTTCTGCCCTCCCACTCTTGGATGAGATTATAAAACTGTAAAAGCCGTGGCTAAAGGCAACAAGCTGGTGATGGGAGCTCCGAAGGGAGGAGAGATGAGCAAGAAAGAAGAGGTGGCCTGCTTGAGAAAGCTTGAGGTTTGGAAGGAGAAAGTACTGAACTAATCAAGTCCCTGGGTTACCCTGGGCAAGGACATTTGAATTATTAATAACTTGAATAATTCCAGGTGCACAGGTGAATCCATCCCGGAACAGCCATCTCTACCTGCGGCAAAGACAGCTGTTCTTGGTACCACTCAGAATGAAGTTCCCAAAAGCCGCTTTACCTCGTGCCAGTCTTCTAATTTGTTGTCAGAAAGATCCAGTTCAGATACGTGAGCACAGAAGGCAGCTATCTCCCTCTCGTCTCCTGCACAGGTGATCCCACAGCTGTTCAACACCAGCACGCTTGGCAGGTTGAGGCGGTCTGAAAAAGCAGAACCGACAGGAAGCCCTTATAAGGAGTCTCTAATTTTTGCTGAGCAATTTTATCACCTGTCCATCCAAGCAAATCTGATCCAGAATACATTTTTTTTAAAAAAAAAATGT